TGTAAAGCAGTGGGGTAGATGGTGCTGTTCTCCAGCTGTCTATCTTGAGGAGTTTCCTCACTGGACTAAACACAACATAATTTCTCTGTAATGCTACAGTGGAATCTTGGAAAAACATAATGTTCCTCCTGTTATGTGCAATAGATTCTTCTTTAATTGCAGCAGCTAAAAAAAGCTTCTATCTTTATAGTTGTGGAACCAGAGCAATGAAGTTTATGGTCTCTCACTGTCAGCAGGTTTACGGAAAATTTATAGTATATCCTCTCAGTTCTGAGTTTACCACTTTCTGTTAGAATATGTACTAAAACTAGCACTGAAAAAAACACCCAGTACAGGATTAGGAGTTTTGCTATCATTAAGGATTCCTATAATTTTAATAGTTTTCATATATGGTTTTTACTTTCATTTCCTTTTCCTTCAAACTGCTATTTTATCTTTTCCAGAATCAAAAATTTGTTCTGTTCAGGCTGTTTCTTCCTCAAATTCTTTTTTTTCTCTTTTCTTTCTTTCTTTTTTCTCCTATAAATTGAACTTGTTCTATTACCATACCCCAATTGACTTTGAGGATTTTTAGTTAATAGAAAATGAATCATGGCACTAGAAATCCCCAAACCTTCTTTTAGTTATTTAGATAAGTTTTTTTTTCCTATATATTTTATTATCCTTCCTTTTCCTTTTTCTGTTTCTGAGTGGCTTGTGCCACTTCATTTACATTCAGTGGAGCAAGGTTAATTCTCTTGTTTTTGACTTATTTCCCAGATTTGAAGAGAAAATATGCTCATGTTTTCTGTTATAATAAGAATTCTGAATTTAATTCAGAACCCTCCTGTTTCTAGCTGGTAAGTGTGTTGGACCAGTGGTCCAGTTGTCTGGTTGAGTCAAACTGTACAGACTCTGCTAGTTTAATAATGATCAGTCTAGCTGGTTGTCAGAAAGGAAAAAAATAAATAAATACATGTAAAAAGCAAACTGTGGGCATCAATGAATTGAAATGGGCAGAATTTGCCTTCAGAAACAAATTTGAATATTATCCAGCTCTACATGATGCAAACTTAACTACAGAAATGTGATTTAGTTTTAACATTTCTACAGATGGTATTTCATCAGTGGTATTTAGGGTGAAATTCTCATTCTGCAAAATTGGAGTTGGGCACTGGAACTTTGATATAACTAGAAAAGGAAAATAGGCTGAGATATTAAAAGGGGAACACAGGATTTAATCAGTCACTTTCACGTAATCAATTTATTTCTAATTTCCATGAGAAAGAGTGCCTAAATCTTCATAGATTCAGAAACTCACCTTTTGTCTCAATCTCACTAAAAAACACCACATGTGAAGAAGCAATTTCTGCTTCGAACTTCCTAGTCAATGTCTGTAGTGCTCCTCAGTCACTGTGGACTGTCCCCTCCTGTTTTTTCAGTATTCATTAACTGCTGTTCTGTTTTTCCTTCCTGTTTTTTTCCCTGTTCTAACAGATGTGTACGTATCATGTGTGGCTCAAAACCAGCAATAATCTTAATTGTATATCCCCAAGCTTCAGTCATATCCCAAAAAACAATCTATACCTGATGTAAATTTAGCAACTTTTCAGTCTGCAGAACCAGTTTCCCTCAGTATTTATAGGGGTGTGAGGAAGACTTGAATAGATGACTTTCTCCTGTAATATGTGTGCTGTATCGCTGAAACAATACTAGGCCCTTAATTAAAGTGAAAGAAATACATAGGGCTGCAGCTGAATAAATGTTAGTGGAGAAATTATCAAATCTTAAAAGGTACATTTCCCATTGACTTGGTATTTTTTGAGTATTTATGTCTAGCACTGGAAATGAAGATGTTGCAGGAAATTTGTGTTTTTATTTACTCTATAGTTACTACATGTGATTTCATTGTTATTACCATTATTATTTTTACATATCCAGTGTATAAGGGAAGCCCTTTTCTATGAAGGCATACATGAAGTATACAAAGGCATATATGAAATGGCATTTAGTGTAACCAAGTTTTTGATTAGGCTGTTTGCATCCACTGGTGAAAAGTACCACCAAATCTTTTTGCTATATCCTGTATGTATTTCCATATCGCGTTCAAAATGGATAAAACGTGACATCTAATGGATCACAGTGATTAACTGGGTGGTGGAGTAAATCCTGGTCTTTAGGCAAAAAGACTGGGTTTTAGGAACCTAGGTCTATTTCTTTGGACAAGCCCACAATCAGACACATTCAATGCCATCTCTAAAGCTCTATATGTTAGTTGGGGCAAGTAGGGTAGTCATCACCATACGGGACAAGGAAAATAAACACTTTTGATAATCTGTTGCATTTCACAGATTTTATTTTATGAAGTCTAAATACTATTTTGACTTTTTTTTTTAAATGTCTAAATAGTATGCATAATAAAAATAATAATAAAATATTATGCAATATGGATAAATAAAAAAATCACCTTCTTCCTAGAATTCTGCTTGATTAACTAGGCCCACCTTCCTCCCACAGTCTTTGCTCTTTCTTGCCCCCTTGATCTTCCTCAAAGAAAAAAGTTGACGCAAACATTACAATATGCTATTACAGGGATTTCTAACCCACCCATAAGACCTTGTTGGTGGCACTTGCATTTTTCTTCGGAGATGTGTACCAGTCTATGTATTACAGGGAATCTGCAGCGATCTATTCCCGAGCTCTGAAACTGTCTGAAACTTTCTGCACTGGCCTGCGAAAAATGGTCATAAGGTCTCTGGTTGAATTGTGTAGAGCAGACATTAAAGAGCAGCTGCTTTTGCTTAATCCTAAAGTGTGTTTCAGTGTTGTTTGCATATGGTGGAAATTTTAGATATTTGTCTCCCTGAAAACATACAACATTCCCAAAATAATTAATGACATTTTAAAAAACTGCATGTAAAGTGCACTAAGGTTGCACAGGACACACTCAGAAGTCAACTCGGCGTGCTCACTCTTCTATCTTCCATCTTCTGCCCAGCTATTATGCTGTAGCATTTTATTACATGTCAGTGTAGTATTTCTAAAATAGCATACACATCAGATAATGGTTTAAATAAAAATTTAAAGTCCATTTTGTAACACACATAAGAAGTGGGTACTTCTTAAGGCAGACAGACTCACATTAATTCCCAGATTATGCAGTATAATATGAGACAATGCTTTTTCTACGTATTACTGAAGCACGAAATGAAATCTATAAGAGTGACCGACCTTAAACTCGTAACTGCCATTCATTTCAGTCTGTGTAGCCCAGCAGACTGGCTGTTGAGAGCTATGCTTGCTTGCTGTTTTGTGAGTCTCTGCAGATGCACATTCACCCACTCTATGCAAACATGCACACAATCTCTTTTTTCTCTCTCACACTGTCTGGCATATTTTCAGTATAACTCTTCGAAGACTTTCTGAACTGCTGGGTATGATTGTCTGATTATTATTATTTTTTTAACTGGGAACATGTTTAGTCCAGTGTTATTTAAACAGGCTTATCTCTTTGATCAAAGTCTGCAATTTGAAATTTGAACAGGGTAGGGAGGGTGGTGGGGTGGGTGAGGAAATCTATCAAGTACATATTTATGTGTGTGCTGCTGTCTTAGCTGTGTGTCTGCAGAGGTACAGATATATATTATGTCAGTATAATCTTTGAAATGTAAGTAACCTGCTATTTTAGCAGAAATTTTAAAAACACAGTGTTACTAAAATAAAACAATTTTTAGTAAACTTTTCTAGAGGCTATTAGTGACGTGCATATTCAGTTTTTCAGTTTCTTGTTTTTTCTGAAGGTTGAGACGACTAACTGTGGAGTTAAGTATAGCATAGACTTTGCTAGTATTCAAAGCATACTAATTGGAGCCCATATATTAATGTGTTTAGGGTTGGCATTAATCTGTTTAGCTGACTGAACCACAGACCACAGCAATAATACTAGAGAACTTGGAACAGCTTTTGGAGGTTTTCATTTAGCTGGTTCAGGAGAACTGGTTTGTGCAAAGTTAAAATTATATGGAATGAGATGGCAAGATGAAGCATGCATGCCACACCTTTTCATTATGTTCTCTCTCCCCCCCTTTTCTTTCCTAAAAATAACTTTGAGAGGCATTTCAGTTTGTTTTAAAGCTCATCCCATTAGTTTATTTTAGATTACTTGATTTTCTACTCTGATTTCAAAAATCAAGTTTGCTGAGCTTTTGTTCATGGGAATAATAAAAAATATCCTGTATTCAATGCACGTGTTATGCAGTCAAATATTTTTTCCTAATATTGAAGATTTTACTAAGGCAAAGTCTGAAGGATACTTTACTTCATAATTTTATGAGCTAAAAAAGAAGCAGATAGAAAATTCTAGGCTAATCTAAAGCTTTTCTTCGCTTTTAAAGCTATTTTTATCCTCTAGCTAATTCAAGTTGCTATTACTGATGCAAGCATGTTATAAATGTTTTCTCCTACATAGATCATCCTTTAATTTGTTAGTTCGTTCTGTTGACTGAGGCTAACTACACACACACACACGCACAAGCACACACAGGCGCACGCGCTTGCACACACTTTCTGCTTTGCCATATCTCAGTTACAGCATAGTCCTGCCCAGGGTCATTACAATGTACACATTACATATTTCTAGCAAACACAAAAATGAATCAAACGGGAGGAGAGATAAGCACAGATAGATTGGAGCCTGCTGAGGAAATAAAAGGCAGTAATCTGGCTGACCACTGGACTAGTCTTCCTGGTCTAATTTCAGCGTCCTTTCCCGTTAGTTGCTGTGGAGCGCTGGCTACTCTGCAGTGAAAAATTAAATGACTAGTAAGAATAAAGTAACATTTAGTGGGACAATTGTTTGGTATAACTCCAAAGCTAATTGTTTCTGAAGTGATGTTTAAACCAGCGTCGGCACTAGGCAAGAGCTCCTGGCTTGTGGCCAGCACCTTGTAACGCATATTAGCGCAGATGAGGAGTTCTCAAAAGTTAGAGGGAGAGGGAGAATGTGCGTTTCCAGTGCTTACCCTGCATTTGTTTGCATCCTCCTCCTTGCTGAGATCAGAGGAATACCTGTGTAGTGCTGCTTTAACATGATTTCTGCTGAACCTCAGAATAGGTTCTGGTATTTTTTTTAGGTGGACTGCCAGCTGCTGATCTCGCTGTTGACAGTAAAAGCAGATATGTTCCTTGCTCACTGCCATTAGCAATGACCATGACCCTTCACACCAAAACCTCTGGAGTTACCCTGCTGCACCAGATTCAAGGCACTGAACTGGAGACACTGAGCAGACCTCAGCTGAAGATTCCCCTGGAAAGATCACTCAGCGACATGTATGTGGAGAGCAACAAGACAGGAGTTTTTAACTACCCAGAAGGGGCCACTTACGATTTTGGTACTACTGCTCCAGTGTACGGCTCTACTACGCTCAGTTATGCCCCTACTTCAGAATCTTTTGGGTCCAGCAGCCTGGCAGGATTTCACTCACTGAACAATGTCCCACCAAGCCCTGTGGTGTTCTTGCAAACGGCACCCCAGCTCTCACCCTTCATCCATCATCACAGCCAGCAGGTACCCTACTACCTTGAAAATGAACAGGGCAGCTTCGGGATGAGGGAAGCTGGTCCTCCAGCCTTCTACAGGTAAGTGCTACGGATGATTTCTCTTTCATCTTTAAGCAGATATGCTGAGAAAAATAGAATGTTGCAATATGTGCCCTCGGCTTTGCTTTTTGTGTAAAAGACAATGTAATCTCACGGAATTGTCCACGATATCTAGACCATAAAAATAGCAGAGGATAAAACAGAACTGTAACTTACAGCTTACTGTGCCTGTAAGCTGCAAATTTTGAAAACTGTATATAAATGAGAGATGAATTAAATCATGAATGGAAATGCTGGAAAACATGAAAATGTAATTGATTAAGGAGTGGCAAACAATCTCCCTGTTGCAATATATTAGAATTACTGTCTAAAAGTATACTAAAAAGACTTCCACCATCAGATGTTTTCATATGCGAGCCGTTGTTTGTTCAGCTCTTAGCTGCTAGTAAGAGTATTTTCCTCCTCTGACTTCCTTTACAGTATAAGTGGGTTATATAGAAAGTCGTTCAGACACACAGTATCCTTCCTAATCAAACTGTTACAGCTGACTCAGTGACAGTATCTCAGTCAGCAACCACCTCTGTGAGCTATATGCCTAATAACTTGTATTTTTCATTGGAAGTTGATATATATCAAGCAGAAATCTGACATGCTGCATTTGAAATAAAAGGGTATTTTTCTTTATCTTATTTTATTTATTTTACTTTTATGCTTAGATTGAAGGGTTTTAATATTATTGTCAATTGTGAAAACATTTACTTAATTTCTGAAATATGTGGGAGTAATTAATAGAGTTGTAGCTTCCAAGAAAATATAGTCAAACACATCAACACTCACACTGTTAATGTTTGTGCAGTGTTAATAGCGTAATTTTACATCATCATATTATAATGGGCTTCACTGAGTCAGAGTGAACAGTTAGATATATTTATATATATATTTTCTAATTGCTGTCTATATCTGTTTATTTGGGAGATACAAGTAATTTTGCTACACATGGAGTGACTCTAAGTAAATAAAAACAAATTACTTTTTCCTTGTTGAGAATCAGACTCGGTCAGACTTATTTGCACAAGATAGTTTGTTGCTGGGAACAGCACTGTATCTTCTTAAAAATAGTCTAAATCAGCCGGAGTGAGAATCTGGTAGCAGAATATGGTCCAAAAAAACAGATTATGGTTGCACTTTTTGCAAATGATTAATCAGTTTTGGAGATCAGTTGAAATAAAAACTAGTGAAAAGATAATGGTTATGCCAGGCACTCCAATAAAGTGATCTGTTAACTGAGTTGATTCAAATAATATGCATCATACTGCAATCGAATGCAGTTCCTCTAGGAAAAATGAATACATACCAGAGCATAAGGATCTTGATTGATTAACTGATTTCAGGGTAAAAGTGCACTTTGCACTACATTACTTTTTTTTTTTTTTTTTTTTTTTTTTTTTTGTAGAAAGCATGTAAGGGACCTGAGATGTGTAAACAGTGGAGCAGTGAGTTTGTGAAGCTGAAATACACAGGCAGGAAATGTACTATAGTCAGGGTGATTTACTTAAGGAGAGAGAAAAACAAGAATTGTCTGGAAATAAAAGTTGAACTGTGGAAATGAAATTCTTTCATTTTTAAATAGTGAATTGAGGTGAGACACTTCAAAATAAAACTAGCATACTTTTTAGTAGTGAAGTTTAGCTATTGGAGCAAACATGTAAGGGCAGTGATGGATTCCCTATTTACTGATATTTCTGATCAAGGTTGACTATGTCCTTTGAAGATGTGTTTTATCCGTACACAACTGATGGGGCTTAAAGCTGCAGTAATTAAGTGAATTTATGATCTTGGATGTGCAGGTGGTTTATCTGTATACAAGGTTATACAACAGATTTAATGGCCCCTTCCAGCCATAATTCTGTAAGGCACATTTGATATGTTAATAGGAAATGTGTATCAAAGTCCTTGCTATGATTATCTTTTGTTAACAGGCGTACTACTGTTGGAATTAAATTGATAAATCATTGCTTTTTTCTTCATTTCAGCAAGACTGTGTTTAGAAAGTTATTGTCTTGACAACATTAAATTTTAGGTCTTTATTCTTGTACTTTGGCACAAATCCAATCACAAATACTCTGCTAGAAATAATTTGAATAGGCGTTCAGTGTCTGGGAAATATTTAAATACCTAACCATGGGGTATAAAAGTAAGCTCTTTTAAAAATATTTAAATACATGAATTTCCAATTTACTTCATTTGGCTAATCGCATTGTCTTCACTTGGATTCTGGAAAAAAAGAAAGCATGGGGCAGTATAATCTGTCAATAAATAGAGATGCTGGAGATTGGAAGATGTCTAACTACTAAAATGGTGAACTTCTGGAGCAACCTACCAGAAGGAGTGGTAAATGCAAAACAGTCTCAAACTAGTCCTAGCAAAATTCAAAATCTATCATGATCAATTTATGATATGGTTGCTTGCAGCTATAGCAAGTAGTGTAACTTAAGACTCCAAAGGACCCTTCAGGAATTCTTATTCACCATTTCTGTGTAACAGTTGTGCTGTTTAGCTCACCATACTGGGATGTTTGCATTGTTTTATATAACCCTGTTATATGATGGATTTGGGATGCAAATAGTGCATTCTGTGATATAAGTTACTAGGACAATAAATATTCATTGTAGGTAAGAGCTGAAATAATATTTTGTTAGTACTTGGATCAAATGTTCAAAATATTCAGTCACAAGACTACCACATGTAGTGAAGAAAATATAAGGTAATTTGATTTTGTTACTAAATATTCAAAATCATGCTGACATGTATTAATTGACACGTATTCATTCAGAAGTTATATATATTTTTTTTCTTTTAAATTGTGTTTCCATTTTAAATGACTTTGTTATTACAAGATAATGACAGACTCATATGTCTAGCTGAAGAATATAACAGTACATAGAGAAAAGAACAAATGTTGTGAAGAATACAAATAAGTAAATAAATCTCCTTTTTCCTGTAGTTTCTAAATCATGGGTCATCAGAATTTGAGAAAAGAGACTGGGCTTAATTAATTCATATTGTGCTGTTTTGAACTTGACCCCTTTTTTGTCTGAACTTGTGGCTTGTTTTTATAGGGAGCCAAACTAAAATACCTTTCCCTTATCTTACAGTGTCAGTATCTTTCAGTAAGGGACAGAAGGCATAACACTACTTATGCTTTTGATTCTCTTTGAATTTACATATGTTTTATTTTTTCTGTCACTGTTTTTAGCAGTGTTTCTTATCAAAGGCTGGCTATTAGTTTATTAATACAGGAAATCATTTGTTTATGGATACTATAGTAAACTTATTGAAATATTTCTTTTGTTCCTAACGAATAAATTTATATTCTGGTCAGATTACTTCCTTATCTTTTTTTTTTTTTTTTTTGTCAGGTTTTTTGGTCATTCAGGGGAAAAAACAAGAAGCCATTCAGTATCTAATTTACCTCACTAAATTCTTATAAAAAACAGCAAAGATGAATCCTTTTTCTTCTTCCAGTGTGTGATGTTACAGTGTTATCCCGCTGAAAGTGCACTCCTCAAACCTGAAGTAAAATCATGCCTGTATTTCAGGCTCTCTGTAACCTACATTTGGTGCTGCTTCCAAGTTTGAGCAAAACCCATGTAAAAAGACAGCCCCTACCAGCTACCTCATGAGAGAATTGTCTTTTTGTTTGTAGTGATTGACAGAGACAGGGCATATCAGCATATAAAAAATATCAGATGAAAAATCATTCATTACTCCCTCTAGTACCTCAGGCTCTGGAATTAGATTAATATAATAAAGTATTTATTTAGCTTTACTGCAATGTATTTATCATACTGAAATTGATACTGAATTACTATAAACATGTTGGGCTGATCGCTATGATCACAGCTTTAACTTTTAATGCTTTCTAGAATGGAGAAAGATTACAAATGTAGATTGAATCCTCTTCTGTAATTTATAAATCCAGTTTGAACAGCAATGTTACTTAATCTAATGTTTTCTTTCTTTCTTTTTTTTTTTTTTTAATGTTGTCTAATTCATTATGAGTCTTTTAGTCTTTGTAGCTGCTCATGTTGAGTTCTCATTAAAGAGGGTTCCAAATTTTAAAATTGAAAGAATGTTAGAATAAATCTATTTTTTTTTTTTAATGCTGTATGAGGTTTTCCATAACATGAAAGAATACTATGTATTGTGAAGTTTTTTGGGTTCTTGTTGTTGTTTTTCTCTACAGCATGAATCCATTCTCAGGTTATCTCTAAGCATCAGTGTATGACATTTGACCCCAGTTTGTTGAATACTCAGTGTTCTTGTTTTCAGAGCTTGTCCTGTTATACCTGTTAATTTTACAGCACTAGATGCCTGTAATGAAAAAAATAGGAAAATGTGAAGTTACTCTTTCTCATGGAAGTGTTGTGAAGACAAACCTGTTAAAAGTTCTGAGGTACTTACACATCAGTCATGAAGGACTCATGCAAATTTACTGCATTTGCAACTCTCGTTCGATAATATGTTGATGCCATTTGAAGGGCTGTAAGGTTAGAGGGGGCTGGTAGATATGACACAGGACCTACAACTTCCTGGAGTAGCAGGTAGGTGTCAGTGAAAATGATCACCTAGGACACCTCAAATATCATGTGACATGGACAGCAGCATCAAACCTTGACATGGACTCCCTTAGTCTATGAAACCACAGAGAGACAGAGGCACTGTAAGCACACACATTATCTCTTTCAAAGATACATAATTAAAATAGACCAGATGTATCAGGGCCTACCTAAAAGTGTGAGTTTTTCTTTCTGTATAATAAAAGATGGCTAAAGAGACTCATTCTGATGTAGGTATCTTTTGAACGGACAAGGAGGTAGACACATAGTGATGTTCAGAGCTACATGAAATAAATCCCACCATTATGTTTCCTTTTTTTAAGGAGTCAAAGATGTCAACATCTATAATGGCCCTTCAGATAGACACTGCACTATACTCCTTGAGAGAAAGACAGAGAATTGACTCTGTGCTATTGGCCT